TCTGCTCCCAGGTGTGTGCGAAAATCCATATTTTCGCGTGCGGGCGACCCAACTGCATGGGATAATCCATCTTCTCGTGCGGTTGGGTTAAGTGGACTGCACGGGATAATCGATTATCCTGTGCGGTCAAATTATAATGCCTGCACGCAAAACAAAACGAAAAAAAATAAAAAACATCAAAAACCCTAACCATATCCCTAGAATGGCCTGCCGCGCCGCTCGTGGTCGCCATTGTCCTCATGTCGTCGCCGTGATCGCGCCGCCACCGCTCCCGAGTCCGCCACCGCTACTGCCCGCCGCCGTCGCCGTTCCCGGGCACCTTTTCCTCCTCATCGTCGGCACAGCGCGGATCCAGCCACTTGCCCACCGTGCCACCCCCCGAGTTGCTTGTAGCCGCCGCGCCGTCTCTGCCAACAGTTGTCGTGCCGCCCGCTCCCGGCTGCCGCCTTGTCGGCAGCGGCGGCGGCAGCCGGACGCCTCCCACGCCCCGTGTGCTCGGTGGGGAGGGGAGGAGCTAGAGGAGAGCAGAGGAAAGGCACATAGAGGAAAGAGAGAAAGAGGAGTGATTGAGAGAGAATAAAAAGGAAAAGGAAGAGAGAAGATGAAATATTTGAAGTGGGTGAGAGGGAAAAGAGGGAGATAAATTTTCGCGTGCGGTCCACTTAAGAGGCCCGCACGCGAACATATGCTTATTTTTGCGTGCAGACCGTTAAGAGACCTGCCTGCGAAAATCGATTTTTGTGTGTGGATCTTTTAAAGGTCCGCATGCGAAAATAGAAGTTTAATTTTTGCAGATGCATGCGAAAACAGTCCGTCTAGGAAAATGGAAGCTCCTTGTACAGGAAAATGTTTTGTTTACTAGTGGAAATTTTGAGTTTTGTTTTAAATTTGGTGAGTTGTTTTACGGACGGTAGCAGTACCATTGTACGTCATATTTACTGACTGCTAGCAACTACAATCATGGAGCAGCTAATATATACACATACACTTGGAATTAGAAGCATCTCAAGAGTGTAGGACGATCATAAAAAGCTGTGAGCATCGTCTGCATGGATACAAGTACAAGGATATACCATGACAATTTCATCATCGAGTTGAAATCTCTTGTAGACGATATAGGATTAGGATGCATGGGGAATGAGCCTTCGACTATCCACCCTGCCCATCCGTACTAACAGCTTCAGTAATTTCCTTTATTGGCTCTAAGTCCCTGTTTTAGCTTTTATTTGAGAGTGAAGTCAACAACCATGTTGTTTTTTCCCACGCAGTGTGCAAAGTTGGAATGGTGATTTTGTATCGATTTGTTTTCTGGTTGGAGCAATGGAAATAAAACTAGTGACACCAAAATTATTAGTACAAATTTTGTACCTTATAGTACTAGAGGTACCAAGAGATACTAAGTTTTACACTAGAAAAAGAAAATATGGTATTTCCTAAATGACTGCAAAATCAGTTAAATTAGATACAACATGAGGCCGATGGAAAGAGGGATAAAGTTAATTATATATGGGCAAGCCAATTAATTAACTTGGGCTCTTAAGGTTTTGATGAGGAGCCAATGTTAAGAATGTTGCAAATGCTTGTAATCTTGTAAGCATTGTCATGTCTAATTGTTGCATCAGTTTGGTAGTAGCTTTGGACTCCCATCATGCACATAGTGGCTGCAAAATAGCAGAACATGTGGTTTCCGTCATCGGTTTTCTCTCATTTATTTCACTAGGGAAGATTGAAGCGGAATCGGATCGTGGGAGGACACAGTCAGTAGTTGTTTGTTCCTATAAAATCGTGCATGTAACAACCTCCTATACAGAGATGAATAAAAGGAAGAAATTAAATCTCTGGAAAGCTGGAAACAATCCGTAACACCAACTGTCTCTTTGGTTCTGTTCTTTGGTGTCTTTTCTCTGATGTTTTTTTTTTTTTGAAAGGTTCAGACTTAGCTAGATAGCGTGTGAGCGCGAGATCCTGAGAATTTCAATATAATTTGAGTCCTAATTTTAATCGGGTGGCCTCTTATTAGCAGTATTGTGTTACCAAAAGAGATTAGAACAAGAGGCAGATTATTCGCTTATTATGCTTATACTTATCATCGAAAATTTGATTTTTAACTTTAAATTTGAAGTTGATTTTGAGGATTTTTTTCATCGAAGTTTATTTTCCAGCTTTTAGATTGCTAAGAGAACACGTATATAAAAATTTTATTTACAAATTATTTTCAGTTTGCAAATATATCATTTGGCTTATTTCGCGAATAAGCGAAACAATGAGTCCTTAGTGTATATATTAATTATATTTCATTGTTTCCAGATGTAGGTTGAATTACGAATCAAACCATTTAATCTTCCAAACAAAAGAATACTCTGATTATTTCGCAACCTCACTATATGCAGCAAGAGAGGCAGATAGACAAGTGGCTAATGCTTTGGGGTAACCCGGGTAATAGCGGACTCCATCGCTGCCGTTGGGGATGAACTAGTTGTAGACCGCCGGTAAGCGCACGCCAAGGCCTCCATGTCCCCTCCCACGGCCAGGAAACACCAATGTTTGCAGCTGGAAATCTAGCCCAGCCAGTGGCAAAATCCAGCTGGAGCTGTTTGGTTGGATTTGTGGTTATCTAGCAAGTAGTTGAACATTTTCGAATCCCAACTCTGTAGCTTTTGATGCCATATGTAGTTCTACTTACATAGATATATAAGGTAACAAATTTGTAAACAAACAAAAAATATGTTGATATTTATTTGCTTGGCTTGTATATGCGTCCAATTCAACAAACAAGAAACTTTGCTGACAAGAAATGATCAGGCAGTAAATTCGGAATAAATTGGCAAATTTTGCTACAGGACATCCCGACTTCGTGGTTTTAGCTGTAGGACACCGCACAAAGTCACTTTTGGGGAAAGACACTATCAAAATATGGTTATTTGCCAGGGGACACCGCAGCCAATAAAATATTAATTTCTGGTTCAATAGGAGAGATAAACAATGTAAAAGGTCAAAAATGCCCTCGGGCCCGCTTGTCATATTCTTCCCCCACCCCAAACCTCCCTCCTTGCCTCCTCTACCTCCACCGGCGATGACGTCCTCACCCCACCCACGGCCACGAGCAACGAGCTCGGCGCTGGGATGGGCGGCCAACTCGGCGCAGGGGGAGGCGACGCACACCGACAGCGCCCACGGCGGCGGCCTCGCCAGAGCTCCGCCACGAATCGAACTCGCTGGGTTGAGATGAAGAAGCGGAAGAGGTGCGGCGGTGGCACCTCCGCCGCCTTCGACCGGAGCGTCTTCCCCATCCTGCTCGCCGCCATCGCAGCCGGACGGCGCTAACCCGCGACCCCAAGCAGCCTCCGCCACCGCCCGTCGCCATCCCGCCGTCCCAAGCTGCGTCCGCCCCCGGTTGTCCAACGCCCTCCTCGGCGCCGTCCGCCGCTGGCGCATCACGCGACGCCCTCGTCGGCGCCGCCTGTCCCCGTGCGCCGCCGCCCACGCCCATCCCCACGCGCCGCCGTCTTCCGCGTGTACCCGCATGCCGCCGCCCATCGCCCACGCGCCGCCGCCCACGCCCGTCCCCACCCGTCGCTGCACCGCCGCGCCCATCGCCCACGCGCCGCCGCCCATGCCCGTCCCCACGCGCCGTTGCAACGCCTCAGTAGCGGCCTCGCTATTAAAGGAGGAAGAGAGAGGAAGAGAAAGAGAGAGGAGGGCAATTTGGTCATGCCATGTAAAAAAGTAGGCCCCTTGTCGCTTAGTCAGCACAAAAATATTAATTTAATGAATGGAGTGTCCCCTGGCAAATAACCATATTTTGAGAGTGTCTTTCCCCAAAAGTGACTTTGTGCGGTGTCCTACAGCTAAAACCACAAAGTCGCGATGTCCTGTAGCAAAATTTGCCTTTATAGTAATGCGATTGCAACACTTGATTGACTCTTAAAAAAGAGAGAAATGGAAACTCTTTTTCCGTGGAGTACTTCACCCGATCCTTTTTTAGGACACTAATGCCTCACTAACATGTGGACCTAGCGATGCAAGCAGGGCTAGCAAGTGGGCTTTTTTAGCCCCCTTATTTCACTTCTAGTTCATTTTTTCTTCTAAATTTTGTACTACCATATGAGAAATTAACTAGCAAGTGGGTTTTTATGCAGGTACGTAGCGGTACTACCTACTTGCATCCCTATGTGGGCCCCATATGTGCGTTATGCACTTGCTTGAGCATATAAATTTCTGAAACAGAATTTTCATATGGCTTTGACTACTTTCAGTTAGTGTGTGTTGGTAATATCTCATAACGATAGTAGTCCATGTCAGCTCCCTGGACAATTGTTGTCTTAGACTCTTACCATCAAAAACTGAAGTTGATTACTGTTTTGGCGTACATTGAATTTACAAGTTAGGGGTCGCCACCAAACCGTCATCACATCTTATGATATACTCCCAACGGAGCAACTAAAGTCTTACATAGTGAAGCTCACATTAAAGACATACAAGGAACTTAAAGGTGTCCATGTCCATATATATGGACATCACAGTGTAAACATGTAGCCATCCTATGTTCAGAACACATTCAGTTGTCTCACATACAACAACTAGAACCAACTGGAGAGCAAGTTGTTTTTGTGAGCTCATAGGCTTAGGAGACACCGGGAACCGAGCTTACGCATATCTTAGGCCTCTCACAGTGCTCCTAGCTGGAGCGTTCCTTAGTAGTGCCACGGAGGAAAAGTGTCGACGTGGAGTGGACGACCGCGTCCTAGCTAGGTTTCTCGCCTCCTAGTTGAGCGACGCGAAACTTCGTTCTGGCGAGGGCTCGAGCGGACGGGGAAAAGCGAGGCACGCGCGCTGTGGGCAACGTTTCTTCGCTGCCCTGTGCCCTCGCGCGCCTGTGGAGGGGTAAATCCCCAAATCACCCTCCAAAATCCCCACGACATCAGACATATCAGACATGCTAGCAATTTTAGATCAAAAAAACATCCATCTCCGAAAGAACAATCAAGAACAGAAACAGATTGAATCACAATTATTCTTCATTAAAATCTGAGAAAGAGAACACAAAATCCTTTGGTAGAGGAAAGGAAGAAAACCACCACAGATGTAGACCAAACAAACAAAATTTCTCGAGTAATTTGGTAGAGAAAAGAAAGGGGAAATCGGCGAGGAGGAGAAGCCGTCCGCTCCCGCCGCCGGCCGCCGTCGGCTTCGAGCCATTCACTCCCGCCGACCCCGGCCAGATCCAACGTGAAGCCGCGGAAGCCGCCGACGACGACAAGAAGAAGCAGGCGCAGGTCAAGCCCCCGCCGCACCTGCACCCGCACCTCCTCCGTGCCGCCGCCGGCGGCCCGGCCCACCCGCTCCTCCTCCTCGCGGCGGCGGCGGCTGCTCGAGGTGGAGGCGTCCCTCGGTGAGGTCGCCGCGGTGGAGCCGCCTGAGCAGCAGCAGCCGGAGAAGGAGGCGCGGCGAGGGAGGCGACGAGGACGACGGGAGGCGAGGAGGACGCCAGAGCTGCAGCCTTTCCCCTCCTCCTCCGCCGCCCCCGCCTCTCCCACCGTCGGGAAAGGCGTGGCGGTGGACCGGGAGGAGGCGCAGCGGCGGACCGGCGCGGTGGCGGACCGGCGCGGCGGCGGACCGGGAGGGGAGCGGCGTGGGAGGCGAGGAGGCGAGGAGCGGTGTGGGAGGCGAGGAGACGCCGGGAGGGGAGCGGCGTGAGAGGCGAGGAGACGGGAGCAGGGGTTTTCCTTCACTCACCCGTGTCTTTAAAACTGGGTCACGAGCGTTGTGGGGTTTGTTCCCTTACAGTACCTCCATCCAATTAGGTCACGTAAAATAGGATACTTGCACTGTAGGAATGAGTGTCTTTAGAGCCTTTTTTCGAACTAAGCTACGGGGACCGGTGCTTGCACTGTGAATGGCCTTAAGTGGGTGCCAGGTGCTATTGCTTCTTTCTCTACCGATGAGTGCTGATCCACGACGGTTGTGTGTCACACCTTTTCTTTTTTTTTTTTTTGAACTAGGGCTTGAAAGCCCCCATTTCTATTATCAGAAATGCAACAGTAGAAGTCTGCTAACTGCTAAGACAAAAGAGGAAGAAAAAAAGAAATTACAGCACGCAGGCTGTGAAGTTTTTTACAGACCATAGCACTGTGATTCATAAACAAAATGAGAGGAGCTCCCACACCCTCAACCCAGATCTGGTGATACCTTCCTAAGAGACTGCTAACTATATATGAGAGCTTATACTATACCAAGCAGGAAACAAAAGATCACAGGGATGATTCTCCAGCAGCATCACGCATCAGTTGGTTGTGTGTCACACTGGCATTGCCATCGGATATACTCCCTCCATCCCTAAATGTTTGACGCCGTTGACTTTTTTAAACATGTTTGACTGTTCGTCTTATTCAATAAACTTAAGTAATTATCAATTATTTTCTTATCATTTGATTTATTGTTAAATATACTTTTGTGTATACATATAGTTTTACATATTTCACAAAAGTTTTTGAATAAGACGAACGGTCAAACATGTTTAAAAAAGTCAACGGCGTCAAACATTTAGGGAAGGAGGGACACCTTGTCAACAAGATATACAGGCACAACGGCCTTAGCCGCACATGGAAACTCCTCCTTATCATTTTGGCATTAGGCCATTCTTGGCTGAGTTCGTTTGGAGGAGATGGTAACCAATCTCCTACGCACGGAAAACAGAGCAATCCATTAGCATGTAATTAATTAATTATTAGCTAATTTCTTTTTCAAAAATGGATCAATATGGTTCTTTTAACAAACTTTCTTATAGAAACATTTTATAAAGCGTGCGCATGAAAGACGAGCGAGAGGAGTTGGGAACATGTGGTGCTGAACACAGCCTTAGGCTATCCAATTAAAGGTTTTAGGCTATCCAATTAAAGGTTTGTAGAAAAAGGGTTAGTAGTTGGTAATATAAAAATAACCTTGCTAGTATAGGGTAGCAAGAAACCCACCTTTGGTCGCATATACAATTAAATGTCACTCTTATGTTGCTCGGAGTTTATTTAAGATTTCATTTTCTTTTAGCTTGTTTGGAATGCATGGAGCGTGCAATGAAAACCAATATATGTATGGATCGAACAAGTACTAACCTGATCAAGTTTGGATTTGGTCGCCGGCATGGGCTTCCTCAGCTTCCTCCGGCACAGTGACGGCCTGCGCCAGCAGCGAGCAACGGCGATGTCCGGGGTGGGGGTAGGTTGTGAGGGGGAGCATTTTAGTTATTACGGACCTCGGGTGCAGTTATTAGGAGACTTAAACAGACTGTACCTGTTTCAACAACCATTATTGTACATGAACCCTAATCAACTAGTTGAAATTCAATGCAGCATACTTGTACATCGCGAGTAACTAGCATCATGGAGCAGTTAATTAGTTACACTGGAAATTAATTAGAATCAGCTAATTAAACTTCTTAAAACTATATATAGGACTAAAGAGCATGAAATTAAAGTAGTGGTATAGGTACAAGAACACGTTCATGATCCTCCCGAAATCTTTTTGTAGACCGACGTCCTGTCTACAGTACGTAGGATTAGGATGCGTCGGGAATGAACCTCCCACCTTCTGCATTTTCCATTCAGACTCACTACTTTGCTTCGAAACTGTCTGTATCTGTTTCAATTTATCACAGTGAGTGGACTGAACGATCAGGCTGAGTACGACGACCATGCAGTGTGCAAAGCAAGTCTAGTGAACTTGTATTTTGATTTGTTTGATTGCTGGAGCTATGTAAATGAAACTATACCAGATACACGTACATCAACATGATGGAGCCAGGGATGTAGTTATGGGCAAACCGGCCAATTAATTATAGTTTGGGTTCTGAAGGTTTTGATTATGACTCAATGTTGAGAATCAGTATAATTTGAGTTACCATTTTAATCTGGTGGTCTATTATTATTTGTAGTTTTAGGATCAAAACAAAACAATCAAGCCTACCGGAGGGGTAAGGGTAGGAATACCAAAAACCAAAACTTTTAGGGGAATTAAAAGTTACTCTGAAATTCGATGAAGTATGTGACGAAGTCCGATGTGATCGCCAGATGTACACTTGTTAGACTGCTGGTCTGACCGGGGCGATATCGTTGGTCCAACTGTCCTCTGAGCAACTATTGTCTGAAGCCACCGCCAGTCTGACCGTCGCTACCTCGCCAATCTGACCGCTGAGATCAGGAGAAACATCGATTGAAGAACTCATAAAAATAAATCATCTTTATTACTTCTAATTATGTTTACAAAACACAACAATTACACTTGTCTCTCAACTTTTGACGAAACTCGAAATCTAGGCTAAACCTAAACTTTTCTCTCAACTAATAATCTCACAAAATCTATACCTAGAGGCATCAACCACTCTTTTATTTATACCCTGATGTGGTTGTACAAAAACCACAAATCCACTTTGTAGAAAAAGTCATAATTTAGTAGGAAACCTACCCATACAAGTAATCCACCTGATCAAACTCCAATCGTCCTAAATTTATACTACTTCTAAATTCGACTTCGCATCCCAAACACACAAAACTCATTTTTTATATTGCATGAAATCTTCGCTACTATGTGCACTATCATTTATCCTAAGCGTCCCGCGTGATCTAGTGATCATCTGGACATCAACTTCTTCCAAGTTGACTCCTGACCCGTCACTGGCAATACTCTCTTGACACATCAAGGCACACTAACACATAAATAAATAAGAAACCAAATCCGAGCACAAATTATTCCACAACTTGACTCAACATTAGTATACAACAATATTAAATATATAGTAATAGTCTAGAGTCATAAACATAAAGTAATCACGAGTATACAAACAAACCAATCCGAAACTAACTCCAATAAAGTGCTAGGCAGTTAGACCGTCGGGCCGGTCGGCCTAATTGCCTCAACACCACTGGTTTGACAAGCCCACCTTGCGCGGTCTGACCGGCTCCACACAATGGAAAACATGTTCATCGTACTACCACTATTCAACGTTGTTCCCACACTACTACAGAAACGATTTTCCTATGCGAGCCCCTCGTTAGATTCCAGACATTCGATAACTGACCGCGTCTGAAAAAATCATCCTACCATTTTTGCGTGCGGACCCTTAAGAGAACCACACGCACAAATCAATTTTTGCGCATGGGCCTCTTAAGGGTCCGCACGCAAAAACAAGTGTATTTTCACGTACGGGCATCTTAAGAGCATAGCACGCGAAAATACCCTCCCTCCTCAGGCAATTTTTCTCTCTCAACCACTTCAAAAATTTATATCTTATCCTCTCCACCTACCGATCCTTATCCTCATTATTCCCTTTCTTCTCTCTCTCGTCTATCGTCTCTCACGGGCAGCGTGTGGGCTTGGTGGCTGACAGGTGGCAGCCAGGAGCGGCGGCGACCCTCGCCCGCCCGGATCTGGAGGACGCGCCCCTCTCCCGCCGGCTGGATCCAGCGGTTGGCGGTGGCGACGTGGCCGGGAGCGGCGGTGAGCTTGGGAGAGGTGACGGGCTTGTGAGCCAGCTGCGGCGGCCGGTCGCGGCAGAAGGCGGCGACGCCGCCACCGACGACGACGATGGTGGCGCACGTCGACAACGACGGCGACGGCGAGGAGGGTGGCGGTGGGCGGTAGCTAGGGTTAGGGTTTGGATTTTTTTTTTGGGTTTTTTTTCCATGTGGGCGACATAACCCAACCGCACGCGAAAATCATTTTCGCGTGGCACAAAAAAATTGGATTTTTGCAGACACTTAGGTGCAGACAGGGGTGAGATCCGCACGCAACAACCCTTTTCGACCGCACGAAAAAAATCGTTTTCTTAGTAGTACCAGTCTAACCTTTACGCAAAACCCTGCCCAATATAGAGGCAACCACTTAGCCAATAAATTACCAAATAGACAAACCATTACAAAATAATAATAATAATAATAATATTATTATTATTATTATTATTATTATTATTATTATTATTTTTATTATTTTTATTTTATAGTAGTTTATTAGGAAAGGAGACTAGTAAAAGGCCATATTATCTTATTATTGCTTGTTTCCTTGTAGGGTGTATTTGTAATTTTGTTTGTTTCCAGGAATAGGCCGTAAAATGATTCATGCTAACTTCAAAACAAAAGGAAACACTCTGATTATTCAGCCACACCACACAACGCTACCTACCTAGCTAGATTGGTAGCTTATACTATAGTACCCAATACTTGGAAGCTTGGAGTGGTGAATTTGACAAATTGACCCTTTTACGGCTGCCGTCCAGGATGAACTCGTTGCAGACTTTCAGTAGTACTACTCTTGCATCAGTACTAATCAGGGGCCCTCCAATCTATCATCAATACTAATTATCCATGCTTAACTAGCATCAGATTATAGGACAAAATAAAACAGAAAAAAAAAGATTACAGGGCACAACCTTATCCCCTGATGATTAACTTCAGTTCAGTTTGATGCTTTGTTTCTTTCATCATCATGAGTCACCCCGCCGCCAGCTTGTCGGCTTCAGCTTGCCTCCTGTTCCTAATACTTATTCCTGAAGTTGTTCACAACATGAAACATGTAACAAATAGTAGTAGATCGAATCAATCAACAGTCTAAGATCACATCAATTTCATGGTGCGTTCTATGACATTTCGTGGTGTTCTAACACATATCTTGTGCTGTACTATTGTGTTCACGTGCATGTGCCAGTTGGATAAACCAGTTAGTAGGACACAGCTCCTCTGACGTAAAGACAGAGAGACGTGGGTCGCAGACAGGTGGGGCCCACCTTTATGGGCCTACACGTCAGTGAC